CCCCAAAACCCCAAAACCCCAAAACCCCGCAATTAAATTTTAAATATAAGATTTGATGGGAATTTATTTGATTAATGAATATAAAACAAGGATTTAAAGGTATTAAAGTATAATATATTAAATGAGATTGAGTTTGCTAGCATTACTAGGAGTGACTCTGCTTGCTGGTACATCTAAAGCAGTCGTGACACAATTACCCTCTGATTCAATGATATCAACTAAGAAATTCCTGCAGACCTCTGCTGGATCAAAAGTAGCTTCTGCTCAGATCACAGGCACTACCACTACTTCGACAGGCAAGATATATACTTATGGTGGGTACACCTACGTAGAGGACACCTAAAATCCATTTGCTGAGTTTATTATCGGAGTTATCATGATAACCTTCTCATTCCCCATTCTATGGAATAATGAAAGAAAGCAAGTCAAGATTGCTGCACTCCTTAAGAAGGCTGAAGAAGAGGCGGTAGATGTAATTGACTATAAAAAGCCAGAAGATACCCAAAATTTTAAACTTCTATATGCTAGCGGTTAATCTAAAAATGATAGTATACTAGAGGATGAAAAATTCGGTATTTAAGTAAAAAATGCTGTCAAGTTGGTCAGAAGAGTAGAAATGTATCAGTGGGTTGAGTAAACTGAAAGAAGAAATAATGTCACTGAATATCACTACAGAAAGGAATGGAGATCAAGTCTTCTAAGCAGTGGTTGTTTCAGAGATGGCTCCAAAACTAATCCCTCATCCATGCCATTCAACAATCATAGTGTCTATGCTCAAAAGGTAGAATTTGGTGGATATATTCTCTCTTAATCCTAACTGAACTAGTTCACATAGCTGAAATCTGTGGAACTATCAGATGAAAGAATTAATATTGTGAGGGATAAGATTCATGACTAAGTCAAAGAGAATGGCTACAAGGAACCAACCAGAAGTGGAGAATTCATTTTCTTAAAGAAACATGACCATCTGATACCAGATACTGATGTTGGTGATATCAGAATTGCTTTTGACTATGTCCCCTGCGGAGATACTACAATCATGGCTCAGCAGATAGTAAGAAATAATCAGTACACATTTAGACAATGGAATCCTAAGAAATCAAACTGCCCTGTTGAAGAAAGTAATGACCCTGACCATGAAACTGTTTGTCTACTTTGTGCTTGCTGTCCATGTGCAAGAGTTGTGGATAGCTGCTTCTAATCAATCTTCAAGGAGACTATTGAAATCGTTGATGAATCTTTGATCAATCGAAAGGAATTGATAGGCAAGATGCAATCATAGAATGACACTACTACAGCTCTTATTAGACTTGGTGGATGGGGTCTTCAATATCTTGGAATTTGCCTACTGTTCAGTCCTATTATCTACGGTTTATCATGGATCCCACTCGTTGGATACCTTATGGCTGGTGGATTCAAATTTATTGTAGCAATCTTTGCCTTTGTAGTCTCGGTCACACTTACTTCATTGACTATTTCATTGGCATGGCTCTATTACAGACCTCTCTACGGGTTATGCCTTCTTGGAGTGGTAGCCATAGGAGTAAGTCTTATTTTATTTCTCTGAAATAAAGGTAATTTTTAACGGAAAACGTCTAAAATGGTAAAATTCAAAATATTAAAGCTTAACTTTATTTTTATTACTTCACTTACTATATTTTGTTCTCAAGGGGTTTTGGGGTTTTGGGG